GAAGGGAGAGCATTATAATGCGATCACTATCTATCCCCTCACTTTGACGCTGCTCACAGAAGATGAAGAAACAGCCTGCGCTATTGCGACACGTCTACTGGAAAGTGGTGCGAGCTGCACGGCGACCGACAGTTCCCTCAAGACCGTGTTTCATCAGGCAGTCATAGCTGGGGCAGTATCTCTAGTCAGGACATTCCTTCAAGTTGACCCAAATGCTCGTACAGCTGTGGATTTCCTCCCGCAGATTGGCTCTCAAATGACTATCAGTCCCCTTGTCAGCGCAATCAGCTCTAATAACCGCGCTATGACCGCATTGCTGCTTTCTTCCGGAGCGAAAGCGGATATCACAGAAGAGATGTTTGACAAAGCTTGGGACGCACGCTATAGAGCCAACCCTTCATACACGTACATTCCACAAAAACAACCAAATCAATGGCTTCAAGAGACACTCTTCCCAATCGAAGCCGCCTTGGCTCAACGAAATGACCTCGTCTTTCCTTTGGTAAAACTGGGTGTAGATCTCAATCGAGGTTTAAGGTCTGAATGGTCTGATTATAACCGCAGGAATAGGTCGGTAATTCTCATAGCCTTTATTCGTCTTCTCATTCGACTTTAGTCCCACCAAGCTAACCATCCTGGATCGGATCCGTGCCTGTATCCAATATGCCAAAAACGAGTTGGATGCATTAGATAAAGCTGAACTGAAGGTAACTGGGCTTGGTCAACCAGATGTTCTGCCGCATACAACCTGGGTCACCTCCACCACGACTTTCATTGAATGGCTCACTGTCCAGTATAAGCATGATATCCCCAAAGCTCTCGAAACCTTCAAATCTAAAGCAATACCCGAACCTGCAGAGGACAAGGTCAAAAGTGTGCAAAGTTTCTTGACGGAAGCCATATACACTACCGCGTCCAAACAATTGAAATGGTACACTGACATCGAGTCTCTGATCGTAAAAAATGGGGGGAAATCGGTTCGTGATTTACATCCGACCGTAACGGAAACCGAGGTAGAAAATTGGAGTTTTGCGCACGCTTCACGGATCTATAACTCTCCGAGATCCTTCGGGATGATTGCATCACCTTTACCAGAATCTTCCCTGGTTCCTGTCGAATACAAGATCTATCGCTCGATCTATCAGTCCGAGACTGTATCATCACATCTTCAAGAGAACTATGCACGGTTGTTTGAAGCTTGCTGGATGGGAGACAATCAGACAATAGAAAAACTTTGCTTGCCCCCGAAAGGTGGAAAACGTGACAAGCATGCCACCTACTTGCAGATAGTTGCGGATATAATACCTGACGCAAGGCTTCAGCAGGTCTACAACAGTACTGGATACTCTCCACCATTGGGTGTCGGTATGTTCCGCTTTTCTTTTCTCCTACAACATGCACTAACACAGATGCAGGGCTTTCGACCTTAGCAGTAGCCGTAATGGCACGAAAATGGGATACTGCTAAGGTCATTATCTCTATTGCATTGGCACAGTACGAGAAACCAGACGAGCCCCGCGAGAACTTCAAGCCCTTTGACTCAGGTACTTATTTTTTTGAACGTCTACATACCCTTCCTGACTTCAAACAGATGGGTCAGATGAGGAGTATGATTCCGATATGTCAGAAGATGGTTATCCGGAAGTAACTAAACCCATTTTGATGGATCTCGCCAATCGGATGTCGACCATCAAAACCAATATTGGGCCAGAAAAATTCTTCTCTTCTGCAGTGGTTTCCCCCGGAAATTCGCTGGAGACAGGGACTCTCTTCTCCCAGATATTAAAGCGCGGAAACCTAAATGATCTTGAGCAACTATTGGAAGTGGGAGCCCTCTGTGAACCTCCACAGACTTTGCAGTCGACCAATCTCACCAACGTTCTCCAATATGATAACCCAGAATTACTTTGCTTTATTATCAGCAAATTTGGATACGGCATTCAATCTGACCAGCAGGAGGATGAAGATCAGTTCGGTGATTCTGAGGCTGTCGAAAGGGCAACAGGACGTCCCAAATCCTCAAAAACATATTTGGGA